ACACACACCACACACACACACACACACACACACAAACACACACACACACACACACACACACACACACACACACACACCCACACAAACACCACACACACACGCAAACGCACACGCACACGCATATATGCACACACGCACACACAACACGCCACAACATCGTGTGCTACCGTGAAAATGCTGCGATGTGCTAGCTACGAAATCGCTTTCGATTTGTGTTTTGCTTGATAGCCCCGCCGCAGCATACCGTGTGCATGGTATGCGTTGTCACTTCGCAAGTTGACATGCTTTGCTGTCAGGACCATTCCAAGATGGCAGCTCCACGCCGAGTAGCGTTGTCATCCTCGCGACATTACGGCATCTTGTCTGCGAGAGCGTCTTTGCTGGGCCTCTGTAGGACTCCGGATGCGCGCTGGTGGGCGGAAGGGATCCCACACAAGTGCTTCTACTGAACAGCAGCTGTTGCGGCGGTGTGTCAGCTGTGAACCGGAGTGCGTCTGGCGCACAAGTCTGTCTGCGTCTCCGTACGTGTATGGGTGTGCCGTGTGTGATACGGCACGGTCACGTGTCTTAGGTGTGGCTTAGTCGATCCTCGGCGGTCCCGTTCATGTGCTGTTCTGTATCTGAGAAATACTATTTGACCGTTTTGAGGGGCGTTTGCACGTCGCGAGGTCGCCGCCGGCGCCGCGCGCGGTCAGCAAGCCTTGGTGAGACAGCGACTGGAGTTGTGACCCTGCCGACCCGGGTTGTCAAAAACTGACACCCGGCGTGAACTCCGAAAACAGATGCCACGTGCACCGTGGCTGTTGATCGATTTGCTGTAAGAGGCCGTGACCGATGCTTACGGCACCACGGAAACGGGGTAAATCAGGGATGGCAGAAGATTCATATGGGACACGGGCTTGAAAGCACTTGTCCAGGGCTCATGGACGAGAAGTGAGTTTAGTACCCTGCGTCTGAGCTTATCCCAGGAACTTGACAGTCGTACAGCGTGCTCTTAAAGCGTTGCAAAATACGAGTGATGGCCGTCGTCTTTTTCAGGTTTGAGCATTGATGACAACCATATCTCAGATTATGTCTCAGACTGTGCGCCCACCAGACCCTGGGGAATTCAAATAACCTTAGATCATTTGAAACGAAATGTGGCTTCATGACTGTGTCCCTGGATTAGAACTCGCGCATCACGGTCGTTAAAGAAGGGTGTAAAGCAAAGTAATGTTCAAAAAATATTGTCATTCGCTGTGCGTCAACAGGCAGGATATGGCATGAGCGCAAGCGCGTAACGGCATGACCTGTGACGACATTTGAGCATGGATGACGCCGGGGTGGAAAATACAGACGTGGCCACGGCGAAAAAACAGCATGAGAGAAAGAGAGAGAGATCAGCTGACTACTAACTGACTGAGAGCAGAGAGAGCTGAATTTGTGACCTATCTCAGCTTCAGACAAAGCGTTGGGTTTCAAGGGTAAAGCGAAACGTAGGGCGTCGCCGCACCGCGGCGTGGAAAAAAAAGCTGATGCGATGCTTGCCAGGCCGTCGCCGGGCGGTTTTGATTAGCTTGGCTTGGCCTGCGGACACACGCGCCTCGAAGGTAATGGATCAACAGAGCTGGCCAGGGTGAATCTCACCATAAAGTGCGTAGAACAGACCTGCGCTCAATTCCAGATATTGTTGGAACCAGCTCTAAAGCAACTACGCTTTCGAGTCCAGGCGGAATCGATGCCGCTCTGAAAACCGGTCGTGAGCCAGAGCCGGAGTTGAGCTAGCCAAAGCCTGTGTGAATCTACACCAGTAAAAATGCATGTAGCAACATAAATCAGAAGTCACAAGCTTATACGTGCAAACAAGCGTTTTATGTTGGAAGATTATTTACTTGTCGCGTTGATCGGGAACGCAGTCGGAGCAAATTCCAAGCATTCGAGTCCTGGTCAAAGTGTTCCAACTTGATCCCGCAAACGCACAACCTGCGCGCAAGCGCATTCACAAGTCGGAGGAATTTGCGAGCTCTCCAAGTTTCTAAACGCCTACCGGCTATGCGCGTGCCGTATAGAAATGGTGTGCTGTGCGCCTTCCCGATTGTTCTGAAACGGAACGATCTGGCAATTCGTACTGAGCAAATATGAGGCTGTGATAAAGGCACGAATGCACGATCTAAAATGTATATGTACTTTAGAATGATGATGATGTCTGATGAGTCATAAGAGCCATCATTCTCGTGGCTGTGGTTTGGCTGTTGGTTGGCCGCGTATCTTTAGTCTTTATGCCTCTATGTTTATGCATTCGGGAAACATGCACGGTTAAAACTTGGCCGGCACGTGCGGTAAGGCAAAGTTGCCCACATAACTTTTGGAAAGAAATGCAACTTTTGAAATGCAAATTCCCATGCCGAGTGGGAAATATGTAAGCAAATTGTACGCAAAAATATCATATGGAGGAAATTCACATTTGGGTTGGCAGAATGCTTTCAATTAGATATGTAAATGTTGGGTTGTTAGGCTATTAAATCGACCCAAAGTGAAAAATATAATTTGTATCTGAGGATTTTAGTCCATGTGCTTACGCGCGCCTAGGATCACGCACGACACTGCAACTGAGCGGCGGTTGGCAACCGGTATCAGCGATCGCGTACCCAGGGATCACGTTGTTACATTACACAACCAGTGATCAGCCGATCGCGTACCGCGGGGCACGTTGTACATTTACACAACCAGTGAATCAGCCGATCGCGTACCGCGGGGACCACGTTGTTACATTTACACAGCCAGTGAATCAGCCGATCGCGTACCGCGGGGACTATGTTGTTACATTACACATCCAGTGAGTCGGCCGATCGCGTACGAGGGACCACGTTGTTGACATTTACACAGCCAGTGAATCAGCCGATCGCGTACCGCAGGGATCACGTTCTTGCATTTACACAACCAGTGAATCAGCCGATCGCGTACCGCAGGGATCGCGTTGTTACATTTACACAACCAGTGAATCAGCCGATCGCGTACCGCGGGGACCACGTTGTTACATTTACACAACCAGTGAATCAGCCGATCGCGTACCGCGGGGACCACGTTGTTACATTTACACAACCAGTGAATCAGCCGATCGCGTACGGCGGGGACTATGTTGTTACATTACACAACCAGTGAGTCGGCCGATCGCGTACCGCAGGGACCACGTTGTTACATTTGCACAAGCCGATAAGATGTTTACTCAAAATAAAACCACACGCGCGTACACACAGGCGTGTCATTTTCTTTCACTTTGCGTGGCTCCGTAAATTTTGTCTTGCAATCTTCTAAATGCTTAAGTCCGATTTGTGGGCTAATTTCGCCAAGTGGGGTTAATTATTCGCAGAGCAGCACAAAACTTGTGGGCAGTCGCGAGGTCTCGCTGAGACCAATCCTCGCGTATTTTTTCGCGACGCTGTATCATTCTCAGACTGGAAAAAAGCAGGAGGCTAAGTCGAGCCTCCCGTTCCCCTCTGTCAGTTAGCGCTATGGAAAAAACGGCGAATCCGGGCAAGGGTTAAATGGATCGTACGGGCTTCCTTCCTGAAATAAGTTGCTAGTCTTATGCATTCATTTCAGATGCAAACAACTCAGGGCACTTTTGAAGCCGCAAGGTGCTTATGTAAGCCGTGAAGCCAATTTGGGACAGCACCTTTTCGTGTTGGTATGTAAGAGATCAAAAGCGTTGCGTCAGCGTGATTGTGCAGAAAATGCGCCATAGCATCCTGGCTAATTTTGGAACGTGTTGGCATGCAAAGGATGAAGCAATTCCCTCAAAAATGGTGCAATCACTGGACTTCTTATTCCTTGATCCATGTGTTCCTAGAATTACTTAAAGGGGAATATTCCACGTTTGAAGATATCGAGGCAAGCCTCAGATATGATGAAATACAGTCATTTGTTACTCATGGTATACTCTCAAGTGTCAAAGATTGCTCTGAACACCCCACTTTCATAATTCATTAAATATACTACTCGTTACGT